TCCACAAATTGTTGTTCCTTGTCTAGGTGTTCTTTGTGTCCGTTTCATGTATATTTGTAAAGTCTCCCACGACATAGGATATATTCCTCATGCAGAAGTTGTCTTTTTAAAAACACAAACACAAAGCATCAGCTGCCAAAAAGTCCCCCCGCGACACAAGGTATAAGTATTTCTAGTGCGGTTGTCTGTGGTAGTTGTTTTTAAAAAAATGTGCAAAAACAAACCCTCGACAACCCTGTACCCCACGATTTAACAAACACAGTGGATTCAAAGAGTTGGCTCAAGCACGATATGTCCCATTGGACTGGCAGTAGACCCGCATGTAAAGATCTTAGATTTACTGTCGCACAGACTCATTGCATAACCATGTAATGTATTGATATACAGTCAGGCACTAGATTCCAATGTTACTGAACTATTCTTTATAATTATATCAGATGCACAGACCTGTATCTGAAATAATATTTATAACCAAGAGTATGAGGGTGTGTAAGCAAAAGAAAAAAAAACTAATTTTGTACTGAAAAATAATTCAAAAAACATTTAACAGCAATGTTTAAATAATAAATTTAACCTGATAGTAAACAAATAAAAGGTTTCATGAATGGTTTTTGGAACGAAGTTCATTATCGCGCGTTGTGAAAGGGGGCTAGACGGAAAAAATTCGTACGAAAATTTGGAACGACACTTTTAATATAAATTGACGTCTAACTGTGGATACCATACATTAAATTTGCTTTAACGTTCGCCAACGTCCATACCATGTTGAATACACCGGTTCTCGTCCGATCACCGAAGTTAAGCAACATCGGGCGTGGTTAGTACTTGGATGGGTGACCGCCTGGGAATACCACGTGATGTTGGCTTTTTGCTCTTTATTTTCGTGTCATCTTGTCAGACATTCAGCGCCATCTATCGAATAGATAGGAAATCATTTCGCAAGGAGATTTTACCAATGTATAAATTGTTTTAATTGTTTTTAATATGTAGGTAATAGCCGCTTTCATAGATGGCGTTGTAATTAAAATCGTGTCAAATCAGTTTTACTCGATCGTCACAACTTCGTTCCTATCGGGTGTCCCACGACACCACCGGCTTTTTTTTTACCAAAGTGGTAGGAAGTCGAAGAAGTCGCCAAAAGAGTCTGTACTTCACTGATCAATTTTGATCATAGCAAAATAGTTTTGTCGTGTTATATTTAGTTATACGATTTTAAAAAGTTGGAGACTTAGAAATCCTCCCGAAATTTGTATAACGAATATCTTTAGCTCCTAAACTATTTGTGTAGGTAAGGTAATACTTGCATTTTGATTGCCGAACATATTCAAATATTTGTCATCGCATCAGTCATATCGTAGACTGGTTATGACTGGTAGACTGGTGTGATTGTGATTCCTTTGTGGAAACACGAGTACCTCATTGATTCTACATATTGGCACCTGTTTCATGCTTCCAAGCTCCGGTGCTTATTTCCTGCCTTAGCCATAATATTGCCAAAGTTAAAACATATTACATAGCGCTGAATAGCACAGCATATTTGTTCAAGAAAATGAAAAAATATTTATTCTATTTCAGTAAAGCTTACAAATATTACAGGGGTACGCCAAGACCAAAGCAAGAGGGCAAAGTCCTGCCTATGAATATTTAAGCTGCTTGACGATGCAAATGCGCTGCAGGTCGTAAGCCGTCATACACAATTCAGTTACAGAACACAACATACTACTTCTATACAGGGTTAACTGCCTATAAAAGAGGCGATAGGACACTATTATTTAGTTTAGTGGGATGTGTCTGATTTTGGTTGTACAGGAAATGGAGAATAAATTATTCATTGTTGATCGAAGTATTCAACTCATATTGATTTAAACCATCTAAAACTAAAGGTCAGTCCGGCTGTTGGTGTGGAGCCGCGTCGCCACGTTACGTTTTCTTTAAAATTAAAAATGTGAATATTAAATTTTAATTGTGCTATATTTATTATTTCCTATCATAATCTATCGTTTAATACTGATTATTTCTACATTATAATTTCGACGTTACACATCTGCCAGAAGTCCCGCGACGCACGGCTCAATTTTAAATTTGGACTTGCTTAATTTGGACAATGATCATCATATAGTGCAACGGCAGCAAGTATTTTAATGTTAAAACTCTCTACCACACTAAATTTAACTCTAAATCACACAACGCGCGACGGTAGATAAATTTAGATTCAATAAGTGTACGAGGTAACAACTGCTTCATTTCGTCGAGGAAGGAACGACCGGCCTTGAGGAATGCCGCTGCTTTACATTGTAAGCAGGGACCTACAGCGCGATAGCTTTACATTACTACATTAAAATAGCTTTAGATTCCATTACGTGTTTTAGTAACAATTTATTTTCATCGTGTATAATTAAAGAGTCACTACATTACAAACAAAAATGCAAAGCATTGTCTATTTTTATAATAAGCAGAGATTTACAGCTAACCTCCGGTCTCACTGCACGATATATCTTTGTACTATCGCAAGTTTCATCTTGACAATTGCGCTAGCTCGTATTAATTGGCTATTATTAGCGAACTTTGTTTCTTTTTTATGCCTCACAGTAGTTCGATTTAATTAGAATATAATTTACAAGTGCACACAGCACAAGCAGTGCCACGTTGTCATAACTAAAAAAAAATACAAACGCTTTAATGGTAAATAGTAATTTAATTTATAGATGTTAACTAACTTAAGTAAATACCTAACATTTTAAAAGCTCTAATGTAAACCACTATAGATTATAACATTATTAAAACAAATATTGATTGAAAATTTCATCTAATTTATGGTGTTAGGATATAATAAGAATTACCATAAATAACAAAAAAACTACGAGTGAAACTAGCTGCATAAACTTCAAAATATAAACCTGACATAGGAATATAGAAAATCAATCCATTTTGAAATATAATATATTTTCAATATTCAATATAATATATTTCAATATTTTCACTTCTACCATTCAAAAATTTAGAAGGGATTTACTCGCAAAATTTGTCGCAGTGTAGTATGCATCCTGGATGATGCAACGTCAACGCTTTTTTTCTTTTTATATCCTTCAGATGCATGGGCGGGAGAGCGCACTTATTGTTGCACAGTTGCACCAAAGCTCCTAGGTATGGAAACTTCGTTTGGTATGAGGATATCAGTTAATGCGTGATTTCCTTTAATTTGGGGCGTACCTACCTACGTAATGTTGTCACGGACAGAGAGACTGACCGACGCAAATAATGATTCATTGTCTAGTGATTCCTCCAAAAAACAGGCTTTTTTTATTTATGTTCTTCAACGGAGTCAGGAGGATATAAATATAGTTAGTTATTATGGTTTTGTCCAAGTATGAACAAAATAACTAATAGATAGATTTTCTAATGATTTTGTGATCATTACTATTCCAACTAAATCACGCTATGAACAAGGGACGAGAATAAACTTAGGCCCGTATCTTAAAAGGTGTCTCAGTCGTGAATCTAGTCTTAAAACTAATTTTAAGCAGAGATTTTATTATTGAACGTCACTTAAAACGAGATTCACCGATCCATACTCAAGTGAGTGATAGCTTTTCTAGAACGATTTTTATGTCGAAATCTTTACTCAAGTATAGATTTTGGCAGTTGTGGTCTTTGTTTCGGTGAGACAAGCTGAAACTAGTCTCAAGCTGTGATTTCTAGAGCATTTTAAGGGAAATGAATGTGTTTTACGCTGATTTGTTTCTGAATAATTACGAAAAATTTCCCTTACTTTATTTACAAAAGAATTAATTGTCATACATCAATTCACTTTAATTTACCTTAAATGATATTAAATTCACAGAAGTGCACATTTTATAGACACAATACTTGTTTAAATTGAAATCACCCTAACCTTTTGGTTAATGTTAAAAGTGTAATATTATTCTAGGAATTTAAATTTTAGAAATATAAAAATAATAATTGACATTTCAACATGTCAAGTGTTGATAAATAACTTGACCGTTTCGTTATAGCCTACATCATTGTCATTTTTATTTTAATACTAGCTGATCCGGCAAACGTTGTATTGCAACAAAAAAAAAATTAGGGATGGGTCACCCTTACCATTCAAAATTGTGAATCTAAACCATTCCCAGATCCCCTTGAACACACACAAAAAATTTCATCAAAATCGGTCCAGTCGTTTGAGAGAAGTTCAGTGACATACACACTCACAGAAGAATTATATATATAAAGATTTACTATACTAGCTGACCCGGCGAACTCTGTTCCGCCTTAAAGGCAATAAATAAGCCGATTTTCGAATTTAGTAAGTTCATTTATTTCTTGAAGTCTTTTAAATTCAAACGTCAAATCGGTTGGGATCATCGGGATCCTCGGAATGAGAACTTCCTCACCTTTGAATTTTCCTTTCAGTATCGTCGCGTAAATTACATTGTTCATCAATTTTCTAACCACCAAACGCGTACCGTTGCACAGTTTTGGTTGGTTTATGTTTCGAAGCATGATTACTACGGAGCCAACATTTAGGCGTAAATTGTGCGGTGGTATGCATGGTATGCAAATTATGCATTAGACCATCTAAAACTGCACTACTTCATAAAAGTATATTCTGCATGGGCCCAAAAATATATAATAAGATACCATCAGATTTGAAAAATGAAAAGAACTTAATTTTATTTAAGAAAAAGTTACATGCTATTCTAGTTGGTAAAACTTATTATTCGGTAAAAGAATACATGGAAGATAATATGTAGAATGTAGAATGATGTAAATAATGCACTACTTACATCTTCCTTTGACATACATCAGTACAGAAATTTTGACGTATTAATTTGACATATTATAGTTTGTATTTATTATTATTTGTTTATTATGTATTATTTAACTTAAGAACTGTATTATTATTTAGAAAATGACAGTATTGGATATTATTTTGTTATAATCAATAATTATTGTTAATTTTTGCATGCTGTGACATTCGGCTTAATATGGTGAAACTAGCTGTATCTTTTCCACCTGTTTTTTTCTTTTTGTATAACCCATATTATCGCAAATAAATTGAATTGAATTGAATTGAATTGAATTGGTAAGCCAGGCACATCCAAGGAGTTTAAAAATTCAATTGGATAGTTGGTGGCTTCATCTTCATTTGTGACGCAGTCAATAGATTTGAATGAATGCATTGTTCCAATGATCTTATTTTGAATTATATAGTTCAGGTCGTCTACATCCTTATTCTTAGCCGCTAAAATTGCTCGCTCACTCAACCATTCATTATTTTTGTAGTTAGAAATAATGTCTGGAAATACATTGTTGATAAGTTCGTCTTTTGATGAGACAAAATTACAGAAATTATTTAGAAATGATATCAATCCGCTCGATTCATCGACAGGTACTTGACCATTACCGATAGTCAGCAATTGCTCAGAGAAATCTTCAGCAGATGTATCATTAAGCAACGCAACTCTCATGTTTGCTGTCAGCTGCAGTTTCTTCACATAGCGCCATAGATTCGACGATTTGAGGCAAGCGTTTATTTCGTCGGCAGCCGTAGATCTTGGAATTACTGGCAGTGTTTGGCGGAAATCGCCAGACATTAAAATCATTGCTCCTCCAAAACATCTCGAGTCATTCCGGAAATCTTACAATGTTCGGTTAAGTGCTTCTAATGCACGTTTATGCGCCATTGTGCATTCGTCCCAGATGATGATTTTCGATGCCGATAATACTTTGGCCATTGCTGAATTTTTCGTAATATTACACGTTGGTTCTTCAATAGTTTGAAGATTTAACGGTAATTTTAATGCTGAATGAGCCGTACAGCATCCTTCTAACAATGTGGCTGCTATTCCAGAAGAAGCAAATGCAACCGCTATGTTGGATCTCGCGCGAACAGTGGCTAAAATTACTGACGTGAGGAATGTCTTACCTGTTCCACCAGGGGCATCTAGGAAATATAAACCACAATTTCCACCATCGATTGCCCTCATTAAAGTATCATAAACTTCCTTTTGTTGGGAATTCAACAGGGGTACATTCTTTTGAACTACTAAATCTAATTCCTGGTGATCATATTCACGTTCCCGTTCCAATTCTCGATTAAATGCGTCATTCATTTCACGATTGGGCGCTGGCATTCCTAACCTGATTAATAAACTACAGCACCTGAGGAAACACATATCTTCGATCAAGAGTAAAGCACGATTATGTATCTCCTCATTCATCTCAACATCGTGATTTCTGGAAGTGATACGAATTTGATGTAAAATATCTTCTGACATATTATCCTTATATTTGTGCCACAGGTTACATGGGTTTGATGGAAAGCATGTCGAAATTATGATAGCGAATAATGTGCGTATCTGACTTGGAGATGAAGAGATAATAGCTTCAGCGATTGTCGTATCCCAATGGGTATCGTTTTCTAATAAGTTCAGTTGTTCACATGCAGCACGATATGTTGGGAATATTACACCATTAACAGTCCGTGGTGTCTCAAATGACGTTGGCCAACCGCAAATAGAAACATTCATCATTCTTTGGATGAACTGTATACATACGACCAAGAGCATCAGTAGAACGCACATCCGGATACCCAGGAACCGCATCGCCTTGCTTCCGTCTTTGAAAATTCTTCGATGAAGCATTCTAAGTATAATAACGTGGCATCTCCGAGTAAAGCAAAGTTCGTGCAAACGGATCGCTTTGGCAGATCGCAAAGAAACTGGTCAATGTAGTTGCTGGCGGTGTTTCAGTACGTTGCATAGCATTCGAAGCCGTGAAATATACTCGTTGACCATTCTCCAGATGCACCACCAAATGCACAACAGTAGGATGACGTTCGTGAATAGGGAATGCGAATATACGTCAAATCGCTTCATTACAGTTTACATAACGACCAACTTGATAGCGTGAAATTTCATGGTTGGTATTTGAGGATTGCAATCCAAAAACCGCCATATCGCTGCCTTTCGTGGCATATTTGCAAATGTATTTTATGGACTTTACTGAATTGCAATACTCAATGTTGCAATGTGTCTTGAACGTTTTAGAAATAAGTGGCGAATATGGAACAATCCAACTGTTGTCGACAACGAAATCCATTCTTTTCACTTTTGTTGTGACAGTGCCACCGTTGTCATCTGGTGTTCGACGCCGATACAAAAAAAAAGATACGGAATAAAAAGTATCCTATGTCCGTCTCCTGGCTCTAAGCTACCTCCTCACCAATTTTCAGCCATATCGGTAAAGCCGTTCTTGAGTTATAAATAGTGTAACTAACACGACTTTCTTTTATATATATAGATTTACTTTTGGACGAACAACAAGCTTGTTAATATGTTAACATTGCTACACTAGCCAATAGTATACTACATACAAATTCACAGAAATTATGTTTGCAAAAGAAAATTATTTTTTAAATTATCAGCTGCGTAATACGGTATAATAATGACAATCATGCGGTAACGTAATTGAACAGACTGCAAGTCTGATGATAATAGCTTTGTGTCTGTTTAATTACCTCTCCTCCGTTACCTCTTCTGTCTGTCTATTACCTCTTCACGGTTAAACCATTTAACCGATTTAGATTTGGTGTAGAGATAGTCCGAGTCCCGCGAAAGGACATAGGGCAGTTTTTATCTCTGAAATCATCCTTTAAGGGGTTGAAAAGGGGTGGAAGTTTGTATAAAGAATCAATAACCACTGCACCGATTTAGATGAAATTTGGTATGGAGATACTTTGATTCTTGAGGAAAGACTTAGGCTACTTTTTACCGCGACAACCAACATTTACGCGGGCGGGGCCGCGGGCAAAAGCTAGTTTAATATAAAGCATTTGACAACTTCTTTAGACTTCAGAAGACTTATTACCTATTTTTTCTTTCTCAAACCTAATAAGGGCTAAAATCATTAAAATATTTATTCAAACAATCCTGCATTGTACATTGTACTCGTATACATATGTGTTTGCGCGTGCCTACTAAGTATCATTGTATGTTTTTGTACACAACATTTCTCGTTTTAACACCCGACATCCTTGAGGCTTAAAAATAGTTACTTCAAACGCCGTCATGTCTATGATAAATCCGGTTATATCTAGAATGACAGTAACCCTAACTTTGAGTCATACCGTCTTTGTCCGGAGCGGCAGGCTCGCGGGGAATCATGATTCATAGCGTTGCGTGATGTGCCCATTTCACTGAAATTTGAGCCCAACACTGTTTAAACTCATGCATTATACTTATTATGTACGCAACACACGCTGTTGTCCTACTGTCCCACGTGCACTGTTGCTTTCCAGAAGTTTGAAAATAAAACATTTGTAAACATTTGTATGACGTGTTAAGTACACATACGTAATCTTACCTTTGTGTTCCAATCCAGCAAGAAAGTATTTTGTAATGTTTATTGTTTTAACGCACTTTATAGCTTTTTATTAAATAAAGATTTTTCAGAAGTGTTTTAAAGAAAAAAAACTTTTGCCATAAAAGAAAAAAAAGAACCAGTGTCCTTTCACTTTATTGCATTAAGTAAACCGAAAAGCGACCATTGGAACAGCAACGGAATGGTCGCTGGTAAAATAGACATCTATTTTACATCATTAAATAGCTCTGGGCCATCGGAAGCCTTCTTTGCTGATCAGTATGACTAACTGATTGTACTGTGTTTAACATTTTTTAGTAGTCGTACCCGTATCAAGAACTAATTCCGTAAGTACCGACCACAGTTTTTTATGAAATACATACACATCTCTCGGGCAGTTGGTAGTTTGATGTTCACCCAAGAGCCTACTAAAAATACCAAAGATATAAATATTCTAATACATTCGAAATTCAATAAAATCTTAGTAAGTAATTTAATTTATTTGAATTGTCAGAAATAGTAGTCAGTCAGACTGAGTTAGTCGTAATTATAGCTAAGTACTCGTAGTTGTCTGTTCTATTGTGTTGATTCTATTTAGAAGAAAGGCAAAAAACTCCAGGGACAGTCTTTTTCCAAAAAAAAAACCTGTTGTTGGTTACATTGTTTTCATACGCAAATGAATAGTGAGAACAATGTAACATAGTATTATAAATTAAAAACGGTTTCGAAAAATACTACCATATTTAGGTAGTAGCAGCAGTTTACATACAATGTGGCTGCGGACCATTTTTTTTTTACATGTGGAAACCCTCTCGGGCCGTCACCCCACCGGGGTTTGCGGCGGGGTGGTGTGTCGGAATCGGACCGACTAAAACCACACGGTGTGCGACTTACAGGCGCAGTGTAATAGGAGAGATCCGGGAACTGCTATTATTAAGACATCCGGACTCCTCCTAGCGCCTGCCCGCAAGGGCGCGGGCAGGCGCGATGTCCGGCACACGCGGACGTCACCTGTTCGCGGCTGGCTATTATGGCGGGTGGATGAGAAAAACCCGTCCCGTCTTCCCGCGGTTGACACTCAGGGCGGCATGAACCGGTAGTAAGCGCGCCTCAGCCGCCCGATTCGCCGGAGACGAATTGGGTCCAAGTGAAGGTTGTCCACCCGGACTCTCTCCGCCGTCTCCTTCTGCGAGATGACGTCTTCGCAGAAGGAAGCGACCAAGGTGAAACATCTGACACTATCGGCCATGGAGCATATGATTACCGGTAGCAAGAGATCCCTTCCGATGACTGCAATGAGTAACTGGCGCTGCGGCGCCCAAGCCCGGCAAATTGCCAGCGTGTGCTGAGCCGAGTCCTCACTGCAATTGCAGTGGTGACAGGCGGGACTCAATTCCCTCATAGCGAATGTGGCTGCGGACCAAGACCAGCATTTGGCTAAGCATTTTCATCAGCCAAATTATTTCCAAATTTTTTTTTTATTAGTTTTAATTTTTTTGGCATATGGTTACACAATATGAGGAGGTATTTGTTTTATCTTAACGCAGAGCTATAAATCTCTCATTCTTATGTTTGTTTTTTGTTGGCCGAACAATTGTGATGACCAGCAATCGCTGTCTGACGTAAGCTTTCTTAAACGGCACCTGAACCCAGAAAAAGTTAACGACACTAATCAAAGCCTTGATGCAGTTTCAGTTAACGAGGTAACCATTTAGATTGATGCTGGTTAACACCATGGTCAGAAAGCGGTGATTGTTTAGTTGTGTGAATCTTGTACTTGTTAATGTCGGAGAAATACTTTTTAGTTAGTGTTAGTTGAGTTAGTAAACTAATGTATAATGGGACTAATCCCGCCCACACGCCCACCACTGTAACTCCTGTACACCAGGATCCACAGCAGTGACCCACAAACACACCGAGTTATGACACTCGGGAAGTCCCAGGAAGAAATTAAACTGTCTTGGAACCCGCAACGAAATTAATCAGAAGAAAATTGGAGGAGTTGGAAATACAGTAAATCCACTTCCCTCCTTAGCAAACGCGGGAGACAAAATGAAGTAAAATGGGCATACACCCTTTTAAACAGGGAAGCACCACGGCCACGAAATATTACGGGTCCTACGTGAGCTATATTTGATTTCTATAATATGTATGGCAGAATCGCCTAAACGCACGGAAATTCACCCTAGTTGACACAAGATCCCCATAGTATACCGCCCCAGATGTCACCTGCAAGTTATTCAGCATTATATTACGTTCATTATACCAAAGACTACATTCCCAGAGGATATGATGAGCAGACTGTTCATAGTGAAAGTTAGGGGTTGAGCATTGACACAATGGTGACTCGACTAATTTAAATGAATAAAGCTTGCTCTTAAAGTTACCATGACCCGTAAGAAATTGAGCGACACAGTGATCCACCTCAAGCCATGTCCTCGACAACCGTTCGCGAACAGATGGAAAGAATTGGTAAAGATGGCGCCCCTTGGATGATTCATCCCAGCCTTGTTGCCATTCGTCTATGAGGTCATTATAGACATCGGACTGCTGTTGAAGCAATCTTGTAATTTTACCGCGATCCCGCGCGCCCAAAAAATCGCATTCCATGTTTTTTTGTCTTGAATAGTACATGGCTGCACGTCTCTGCACTTCAAGATCGACCGGAAGCACACCCGCCAACACCGGCAAAGCCTCAGTGCTAACCGTCCTATATGCCTTGCACAAGAATATCAGTGCAAGTCGTTGGCCTTGTAACAGTTTGCGACGGACAGCGCCTACGGTCGCCCTATCGGCCCAAACTAATGTATTAGTAAAACGCAATACTAGACTGAAAATTTTTAATAGCACAATTCACAAAACGGTCTCACTTTTATAACTTTTAATAGCTAAAAGTCCCCTAGCTATTTTAACAGTTAATAATATTGTTTAAAACAGACTTTTTATAGAGGAATGAAGTCGGGTCATAAAACGAAATGAAAACTAAAGAAATAATTAAAAGCAGTGTAGATCGTCTACCTCCCAGCCACGGAGCGTGACGGGTAGCCGCCGACGTTGCTTTATAATTTCAAATAATAATTATATTTCGAGGCGTGTTCGCTAATTAGCCTCGGAATAATTTCACTCCATGCTCTCGTCGTCATGTGTAAGATTGTACTTTAATGTTTCCTATGAGTGACCAATAAATGTATTATTTTTTTTGAACTTCAAAAGTCAAATTTAGCGTTGGTAAAGTGAACCAAATACCTTAATTAAATTTTGAATGTAATAAATATCATCAATA